TTCAAAAATTCTGTATCCTTAGAGACATTTCAGATCAGCTACTGAAAGAGATGTGCTTAAGACTTCCCATTCTGATTACATGTTTGTTTATTTCTTCTTTTAATAAGTTAATTTTTCCTTTATATATTTTGAGGTAATGTTATAAGTATAAAGTTATTTCTGGAAATTGAACCTTTTATCATTATGAAATGACCTTCTATATCTCTAATAATGCTTTTGCTTTTTAGTGTATGTTGTCTGATATGAATACAGCTGTACAAGTTTTCTATCACATATAATATTTGTCTGATTTACCTCTCTTCACCTTTATACCATCGACTCATCTGTATCCTCCTTATCAAAGTGTAAATTTAATAAATACCCAGATTACTTTAGATATGATAGAAAGCCCTTAGAAAAGTTCAACTCCATTCACACCGTTCCTAAAGTCTTTTCTTATTGTACAATACCTTACTCTTATTTTTTAAAAACAGAAATATGACAATGGTTGGTATGGCTCAGTGGATTGAGTGCCAGCCTGTGAACCAAAGGGCTGCTGGTTCGATTCCCAGTCAGGACACATGCCTGGGTTGTGGGCCAGGTCCCCAGTAGGGGGTGCTTGAGAGGCAACAACACGCTGATATTTCTCTCTCTCTCTTCCTACATTCCCCTCTCTAAAAATAAATAAATAAAATCTTTTAAAAAAGCCCAGAATGTATGTTTTTATCATTCCTTCTTCCATCAATGTTCACTTACATTGCTCATGTACCATTACCTTCCTTGCTCCTTTCCTTTCAGCTTTTCGTTCTTCTAAGATCATTTTCCTCCTGAGGCACATCCTTTAGAATTTCCATTAGTTCACTCTGTTGATGGCAAATCCTCTTAATTTTGTTTGTCTAAAATATCTGTATCTCACTCTCCTGTTGAATATTTTCATAAAAGATGTCACCCTTGTGATCTCAGCTTTGTGTGGGCAGGGTCTCCTGTAAGCATGCCCATCCAGGCTCTGACTTCCGATGAGCCAAAGCCATAATATGAAGTGCCTGAATGCCCTCAGCTCCATTGGTAAGAGAACAGTATTTATTTTATTAGGGATTCTGGAGATGCTTAAATGAGATAACAAATGGAAAATTCCTGGCACATTGGAGGAAGCCAACTAAAGGTAGCTATTTGTTTTTCCACTGAAAGCTTTAGCTCCTAAACTTTAGGTTTTTAAGGTTTATGCTTTTGCAATTGGAAAATAAAATGTGGTTCTCCTTAGAACCACCAGTGCCTGAATCTTTGCAATCGGAAGTGTCCCCCTACACTCTTACACATGAGGCAAGAGATAAGGGATTCTCAATATCCAACTGGAGCCAGCTTAGCAAATGTTGCTCCCAGCCTTGCATGGAGAGACCCTCCCTTTGACCTAATGACCCAATCCAGGCACTCGATACAAAAATCTTTTTTTTTTTGTCAGAGCTCTACAGTCTAGTCTTTGTTTGTTTGTTTTTTAAAGATTTTATTTATTTTGTTTTAGAAATAGGGGAAGGGAGGGAGAAAGAAATGGAGAAAAACATTGATTGTGCAAGAGAAAGATCAGTTGGTTGCCTCTCACACACCCCCAACTGGGGTCCTGGCCTGAGACCCATGCATGTGACCTGACTGGTAATTGAACTTGTGGCCTTTCACTTTGTGGGATGATTCCCAACCCACTGAGCCACAGATGACAGGGTTAGTCTTTGTTTTTTTTTTTTGTTTGTTTTGTTTTTAATGCTACCTGGTCCAACTGCAGATCACCTGATTTGGTGATGAAGCCATATAAATTCGGAACAAGAATCTGCTTAGAGGCCAGGGTCAGATGTCATAGTACTGGCCAGTCGAAGGAAGAGTCTGAAAGTAACCCTTAAGCCACTGCCAGCATCACCCCTGACTAAACTTAGCCAAGATGACTAAACTGGCTTTTCTCTGCCTCTACCATCTTCCATCCTCCACTACCACCACCACCACCACACTGTTCCATTAATAATCATGAGGTGGGAGGTGATTCATCTTCAAGTTTGGATCAACTAAGGGTTCTAAGTACTGGTGTTGGAAATAAAGCAGAAAGGATCAAGCGATCTATTTGGCAGGCTGAAGGGCATCAGATTGTTCACTTGTTTCTGAGCACCAGCATTCAAGGATAGGTAACAGCAACAACTTTGCACTTGGGCAATCCACTTGTCAAGTGCATGACACTACCACCCTGACTCGTTGCCCCACCCCAAAGCCACAGAACCCCCTAGCCATACTCCACACGAGGGAAAGAAGAGATTCTTTCCCAGAATCAGAAGTAAGGGAAAATTGAGTGTTATGGGATGAACCGTGTCCCTCAAAGCTCGTATGTGGAAGCCTTAACACCCACTACCTAAAAATGTGACTGTATTTGGGAATAGGGCCTTTTAAGAGTTGACTAAGTGAAAATGAGGCTGTTGGGGTGAGTCCTAATCCAATGTGACTGGGGTCTGTGTAAGAAGAGGAAATTTAGATATCAAGAGTGGGCACACAGAGGAATGACCCTGTGAAGAGGCAGCAAGAGTGTGGCCATCTGCAAGCCAAGGAGAGAGGCTTCAGGAGAAACCAATCCTGTAGGCACCTTTAACTGGACTTCTAGCCTCCAAAACTGTGAGAAAAGTCATTCCTGTTGTTTAAGCCACCCTTTTCGTGGCACTTTGTCATGGTAGCCCGAGCTAAAACAAGGAACCACTGGCTTCACTCTCCATTCACTCTAGTTAGCTCTCCATACTGTTTTCATGGAGTTGCTCCTTCTCCGGGGCCAATAATGCCAAGTCCAGCACAGGTGAAGTCCCTCCCATAGCTCAAAGAAGAACCCCCTTAGCAACTTACCCTTGAACCAGGAAATGGAAGTGCTATGTCATGGCAGAGAGCTGTGGTTCAGAGCTCTAGTCAAATTGTGTTTCATTTCTCACACTCAAGTACAAATTGAAGGAGGAAGATATTAATGAAGAAAGATTTTAGGGGAGTGGTTTTTAACCATTGCTGGGCCACTGGCCCACTTAAAAATCTACAAACCTGCCCTGGCTGGCGTGGCTCAGTGGATTGAGTGCTGACCTGTGAACTGAAAAGTCATCAGTTCAATTCCCAGTCAGGGCACATGCCTGGGTTGCAGGCCAGGTCCCCAGTTGGGGGCACACAAGAGGCAACTGATCGATGTATCTCTTGTACATCACTGTTTCTCTCCCTCTCTTTCTCCATCCCTTCTCCTCTTTCTAAAAATAAATAAAGAAAATCTTTACCAAAAAAACCCTACAAATCTATGGATTCAGAAAAATACAGTCTGTATTAGTTTTCTATGGCTGCAGTGACAAATTACCACAAACTTGCTGGCTGAAAACAAGAAAAAATTATTCTTTCATAGTTATAGAGACCAGAAGTTCAATACTAGATTCTCTGGGTTGAATTCAAGGTGTGAAGAGGGCTGTACTTTGTTCCTTGCCTCTCAGTTTCCAGTGACTGCCAGTATTCCTGTGCTTGTGGTCACACACTCCAATCTCTGCTTCTGTCTTCATATTCCTTTCTCCTTTTCTGCATGTCAGTTTTCTATTTTCAGCTCTCTTATGACACTTATGATTGGATTTAGGGCCCACTTAGATAATGCAGGATGATCTCCCCATGTCAAGATCCTTAGTATAACCACATCTGCTAAGACTGTTTTACTTTATAAGATAACATCTGCAGGTTCCAAGATTTAGGACTTGATATATTTGGGTGGCCATTAGTTAGCCTCCTACATAGTACAAACTTTTTCCATACAATATCAGGAAGATCATGGACCCAGGTAAGAACATCTGCTCTGGAGATGCATTTCACTACAGATATGCTCTGAACAGATACATCGGAGGCAGGTACATTTACTTACCATCTTCTCTACACATCAAGATCAACTATAGTGCTGGTTAAAAATCTAAAATCTAAAATCACAGTCTCAGCCCTATTCCTAAATCAGGATGCTTCAGAGGCCAGGCCCAAGAATCTGCATTTCTTCTTTTAAAAAAGGTTTTATTTATTTATTTAGAAAGAGAGGAAGGTAAGGAAAAAGAGAGTGAAAGAAATATTGATGTGAGAAACAAATTGCACACGGCCCAACCGGGGACCAGGCCTGCAACTGAGGCATGGACTCTGACTGGGAATCAAACCAGTGACCTTTTGCTTTGCCTGAGGATACCCAACCAACTGAGGCACACTGGCCAGGGCCCAGGAATCTACATTTCCTACAGGCTCCCCAAAATGATTCTGAAGCAACCAGCCTTGCACAGAACTTGCTTAGAATTCTTGCAGTTTAGTGAGTAATCAACAGCCTGGGTGCCTAAGTCCCTTCTCTGTTAAATGGACATACTGTCACCTTCTTCACAGTGAGAAATGTCTGTACAAACCTATTTGCACAAAGACAGTGCTCATATTATTTATTCCCCTCTCTTTCCACTATACAAAGGGGAAGTACTTTTATAATTTATTTGCTTTCGATCCCACCCACGTGCTTAAAACACTTGACCTCAAAGGTGTGGAGCTGAGCCAAGAGAGAAGGAGAAGGAGAAGGGAAGAGTTGCAAAATCTCCCAGGTGGTTCAACCAAGCTGCACTTGACGTCCTGTAGAACTGCCCCCCCCCCCCATCCAGATCCTCGTGTATAATTTGCCTCGGCCTGAGGCTGTACGAGGAGCCACCCCGCCCCAGCCTCTTTCATTGGCCACGCCGGGCCGGGCGTCACGCTCTTTTGTCTCAGTGGACAGAGGATAAAAGCAGCCAGGCTGCCGTGGGAACCTTGCTGCTTGGATTCGGCTCCCCCTAGCTGGGCTGCGGTGCAGAGCAGCTCAGTCCCTGCAACCCCGGGTCGCTTAGTGGCGGAGGAGGTGCCCATCATTTTCCCTTTGGGGTCGCGTAGGCCGAAGGCGGCACACACAGATGTCACGTGGGAGCGTCTGCTGCCCACCCGCGGAACATAGGTAAAGAAAGAGTGTGCGATTGCCCGGCGTGGAGAGAGGAGGGGAGGCCCCACCAGGACTGGGCGGCTCCCCGCTTGGAAAATCGAGAACTCCGAGGCAGGGGGCAAGAAGCACTCCTGTGGCCCGGCTGCGCTGAGTGAGGAGGTGGGGTGCCACTGGATGCTGCTGAGTGAGTAGGATTTGCCTGGATTGAGAAGGGAGTTCCTTTGCGGGGCGGGGGAGGCAAGGGGCTGGAGCTGGGAGAGAATCACAAGCTGTCTGTCTTGAACCCCTTTGCATCCCCTCATCTCTTCCTGGGGAGGAATATGTAGGTGTGCGTGTCCAACTCCTATTCCTTTTCTCAGTGGCAAGCCATCAAAGCCAAATGCGAACCTGAATTCTGTGCGGCTGATTGCAGAGCAGGTAGGCTGACGATTTTCTGGGGGAAATGTGATGGGACAGGGTCGCTTTGGCTTGTATTCATAAGGTGGGAGAGGGGATTTTCCGTTTGGCTACAACGAGGGCAGCGAGGGGTGGGGAGGGAGCGAGGGAACAGGATGAAAGATGGGAATTTTTCTGACCCTTCCTTTCCCTGCCCCACCCTCCGCGGTGGCGCAGTCTTGACGCCCGGAGGTCCGGGATCAATGACCCCCGGTGGACAACTTTCTCACGGCGGCCACCAGTTGCAGAGGCTGGTAGTGAAATAAAGGGGTGCGCTTGTCCCTGAGCTCATATAAGAATCTGAGAGCTAAGAGATGGGGGGCGGGTGGCAGAGAGATACTTTAAGAAGGGGGGTGGTCGAGATCAGAGACCATGAGGTTAATGAGATCTTATTTACTCCCACAAATCTGTGACCACTGTGCTCTATTTTGAGAGCTCAGCATAAGGTCTATACACTATTACACTTAGAATTAGAAGCAACAATTGCTGTTCCTCTTGAAGGACTGGAAGGATGGATGTGGCTGTCAAAAGCTCCCTGCTAACAAGGAGACACGGGTTGGCTCCATGAGATTGTAACTGCTAGTCTCCTGGAGGGTATTTTTAGGGTAGTAGGCAGATATAAAATGTACTGCAGAATATTCAGGAAGGGAGAGAAAAAAGCTGCAGACTTATTAGTTCCTTAATCCCCCCTCGTTATTTTTTCTTTTTTACAGTTCTTACTGAGATAGGAGGAAGGCACGCCTGCAGATTAGGCTTTTGCACAAAGCACATCTTGTTAATATTCAGATACCCGATCATCGTTCGTCATGACTAGCATCTTTGCACGCATGGGTAATACCCGGCGGCAGAACACACCCTTGCCACCGTGGGCTCACACTATGCTGAGGTCCCTGAGGACGAGTCTTGGTCCTTTGATGGACAACATGGCAGAGAGAAACATGAAGTTGTTCTCGGGGAGGGTGGTACCAGCCCAGGGGGAAGAAACCTTTGAAAACTGGCTCAACCAGGTCAATGGGGTCCTGCCAGATTGGAATATGTCTGAGGAGGAAAAGCTCAAGCGCTTGCTGAAAACTCTTAGGGGCCCAGCCAGGGAAGTCATGCGTTTGCTCCAGGCAGCCAACCCCAACCTAAGTGTGGCAGATTTCTTGCACGCAATGAAATTAGTGTTTGGGGAGTCTGAAAACAGTGTGACTGCTCATGGTAAATTTTTAAACACTCTGCAGGCACAAGGGGAGAAAGCCTCTCTTTATGTGATCCGTTTAGAGGTGCAGCTCCAGAACGCTATTCAAGCAGGGATCATAGCTGAGAAAGATGCAAACCAGACTCGCCTGCACCAGTTCCTTTTAGGAGCTGAGCTGAATGGGGACCTGCGCTACAGGCTGAAGCATCTTCTCAGGATGTATGCAAATGATCAGGAGCATCTTCCCAATTTCCTGGAGTTAATCAGAATGATAAGGGAAGAAGAGGATTGGGATGACACTTTTATTAAACGGAAGCGGGCCAGGAGATCTGAGTCAATGGTGGAGAGGGCAACGAGCCCAGTGGCATTTCAGGGCTCCCTACGGATAGTGATTGGCAGTGCTGACTGCAACGTGATAGAGATAGATGACACCCTGGATGACTCAGATGAGGATGTGATCCTGGTTGAGTCTCAGGACCCTCCACTTTCATTCTCAGGTTCTCCTCCCCCCAGAGGCAGGGCCAAACCTCGGGATCAAGTGCTAGTCATTGATTCCCCCAACAGTTCCCAGGCTCAATCTCCTTCCACCAGTGGTGGTTCTGGGCATAAGAATGATGGTCCTGGGGATGTGCGTAGAGCCAGGAAGCGAAAATACACAATCTGTTGTTCATGTTGTGGTGAGGAGGGTCACTCGAAGGAAACCTGTGACAATGAGAGTAACAAGGCCCAGATGTTTGAGAATCTGATAATCACCCTGCAGGAGCTGACACATACAGAGCAGGAGGGGTCAAGAGAGGCTCCTGATGAACACGATGACCCTTCTGAGTTGCAGTGAGGTGCTTGACCCCAGCTTTAAATGAACTCTTAGCTATATTCAGAGTCCAGTGATGGCAGAACTGGGGGAGGCAGTGCCTCTAATTGCATGAATTAATCCACAAAGTAGCTTTCTTTTAGGGTGGAGGAGCAAAGGTCTTGGATACCAGCACAGTGGAGGAAGATGGCCTGTCCTCTGTCTTTTCTTGCTCCCCACCTCTGCTGCCTAAGGGTCTATTTTTCGTGTGTGCACATTTCCTTGATGGCTTTATTCTCTGTGTGAAAGTGGTATAATTCATTGTTAAATCTTCAAACAATAAAAATATACAAAAAGTACAGTACAAATTACTCCAAACTTTCCACCCTTATATGACCATTGTTAACCCTTTGATGAATATCCTTCTAGATGTTTCCCTATACTGATGTACTCAAATAGATATATATGTATAGATAAAAATGTTCAAATATAAGTGCTGTTCTATAGTCTGTATTTTTTCACCAAACAATTTATGTTGTGGGCTTCTTTCTATGCTAATAAATATATATCAGCATCTATTTTAATGTCTCTGTGGCATTATTTTAAGAAATAAAGGAAAAGGGAATAAGAAATATGGTTTAAAAAAACCTATAAAAGGGTGGTATTGTGCCCAGAGGTGGGGTTTTTAGCAATCTGATTTTGCAGGTGAGGAAAAGTGAAGAAGAAACAGGCTGAAATATTTCCCTAAGTAAAATGGACAGAGCCCCATACTACAGCTGACTTGTCACTTAGGTCACCCAAACTATGAACTAAGCTATGGCACACACTAGTTGACAATGCTCAGTGCTTTCTTCTGTAATATATCCAGAGGGGTCTAATGGCTGGGGACCCTGGTGCTGCGGTCACAGCTCAATATGGTGAGTCCAGAGGCTCCATTCCTGGTCCTTTTGGGGAGGAGCAACTCTCTCCTTTTGGTCGATTTCTTAGATTATTGTTGCTGCTTCTAGATAACATTGTGATCACAACCAGGAATATTTCTTGTGGGCTGAAACTACCCTCTCCCCAATCCCCAGTTAAAGAAAATAGAGAGCAACTGCTCATAGGAGCCCAGCACCAGAGGCTCAGCCAACAGCACTGGAGCCTCACCCCATAAGCCCTAAAGCTACATGTGTAACACAGGAAGCCGAGTCCAGGGATCTCGACTCCTCATTTGGATAAGCAAAAAAACCCCACAAAGAAGACTGGATGGAGCCGACATAGCCTTTATTACTCACAAGGAGCACAGATGGCCGCAGATCGAAAAAGCAGGACCACACCTCCTTGAGTCTGAGACTTGTTTTAAGGGGTCCCAGACAAAAAGAGAGGCATGTGTCTTCCATATGACTCTAAACTACATGACCTCAGTGTGTACGTGCAGAGAGAAAGGGTCAAGAAGCAGTCACATAGGATAAGAAACCTCTCCCAAAAGGAGATAAGGAGGGGAATTACAATCCATTTCCAAAGGAATACACTTTCCTTCTGGTCACGGGCCTTCTGGCCAGCCTTCCGTTATGGGAGTTGGGGGAGCCATGTCTAGCATGATCCCACACCCCACCCCAACATTGCTCCTCCACTTCACATTCTTCATGTTACATTCTTCTGATAGGGAACCTGTGTGGTGAGCATGTTTTCATACTGTATCCACATACCACAAATGCAGTAAAGGCTACAGCCCAAGACCAGCAATACAAGACAAAACCTAAAGAAACCTAGGGGAAGGGAACACCACCAAGAACCTAGAGAATACTGTCAAGTTATAAGAGGGTCAGAGGTCATGGCAGGTATATGATTAATCTCAGCTCCCAGGAATGCTAAGGCTTGGGATACACTCTGAGAATTATCAGGGATACGCAACACTCAGTGTGCAGAATGGCACAGGTACCCCCCTGGGCAGCGGTGAGTAAGTCTAATGCCATTCTATTCTGTGGCACAGCTTTCCTCATTTGAGTTACCTCATCAGAAACCAGGGCTATAGTGTGTCTGGTATGATTAATGGCTATTGCAGTGTGATTTGCTAAGTCCTTAATGGCTTCATGGGTTAGAATAGTACCTGCAGGGGGACACAATGGCTAGGGGGTAGAAGCACCAGTCAGAGCACTTGACTTGATAGCGCACCTGAAATGAGTCCCAGTTTCAAGGGACACTTGGAAGAGTATTTAACACTCGCCCTGGGATGTATGGTTCTCCCCAGGTGCAATGCTCAGTCCTATTAAATGGGAGGTAAGGCCAACCATATTGGCCACAGGCCCACAGGGCTCCCCATGGGACAGGCCAGAGGAGGCTAGTAGACCATCCCCAGTGGTCTGTACCTGTCATTACCATTATATTCTTGCATAGGGCTGCTGGCATCCACCCCCATGAGCTGAACAGCCCCATTTACAGTACCATTTCTGCGTTAAATGCATATGGACATGGGTTGTCGCACCTCTGCCTGTAATGCTGACAGCCACCCCACACCATCCCAAACTGCATACGAAAGCCATGGTTTGGTGTGGTTGGCCTGTTCTTTCATGAGGGAGAACACCTCATGCATCTGCTCAAAGAGGGGCTCAGGAGCTTTCCAGCTTTGCAGCCAGTCCCAGCGTGCCTGGTTCGCAGGGTGGATCCACCATGGGAGGCTGGCAGAGGCAGCAGTGGGACATTCAGTGCAGACCCAACAATCAGAATGGTTGTTGACGGCTGCTAGCATATTGGCCCACTGAGAAAGGAGTTTCCAGAGTGGAGTCTAAGGGTAATAAGAGAGATGTTTAATAGGAACTGATAAAGGTAGGTCTGGGTGGTCTGGCAACACACATGCCACAGTCCAGCTTTTAGTTAATATAGTTACACTGACCGGAGGATGCTCTGCTGTTGGTACCATGCCCTATTTGGCCCTAGGCTAAGGGCCTCCTGCACTTGAAGGGCCAAGGGAGGTATGTGTACCTGCCAGACTGAGGCTATATAAGTTCCCTTAGGAACTGAGGTCTGCTGTGTGTTGTAACAAACAAGGGAAAGGGGCCAAGAGGCAGTTACCATGGGTTCCAGCAGCAACCCCATGACAAGTCCCTCCCCGCAAGGGGCCACCAAGGAACACCAGCGGGACTCTACCTGTGCTTGCCAGGGCCATGTGAGGGTGCATTTCCCTGGGGGTGTGTCATGGGGTGCTGGCAAGAGCATGTTATTTTGTCTTCCCAGCCCAGGGCAAAGCAGAGGCTCCTGTGTACTTAATTGTAGGTGGATAGGTGCCACCCAAGGTTTAGTGAGCAGGGTGACAGGAGATGCTTGTCTTACCCTAGGCCATTTGTTCAAGGTCCACAGACAGTCGGACAGGCGAGTTGTCTACCCCGGGAATGAGCCAGAGTCAGTCTTTAGGGCACCTTTCAAGAGGCCGTTGTACCTTTCAGTGAGGCCAGCTCCAGTGGGGGTGTATGGCAGATGGACTCTATAATCTATATTGAGGGCATCTGCCCTTTCTTGTACTTGATGTCCTGTGAAATGTGTGTCTTGGTCACTTTCAATGACATCTGGGGTCCCATTGGCAGCACAGAACTGTTTTAGGGCTCAGGTGGCGGCTCATTGTGTGGCCCGCTGGCATGGTCATGCTTGCAGTAAGCCAGTAGTCTTGTGCACACACATCAGGGAATAGCGTGAACTTTCAGATAGTGGCAGGGGGCCAGTGTAGTTGCCCTGCCAGTGGGGTGTTGCCCCATCACAGGCCACCCATATCTTGGGGCAGCCAGCGACGGTGCTTCTCTGCACAGACGGTGCATTGCTGACAGGCCGTGACTACATCAGAGTAACGGAGCGGTGGGCCCCAAGCTTTTACCACTTCCCATAAAGTCTTCTGTCCCACATGGTGCATCTTTTGGTGGAGCCACTCAGCTGTGTCTTCTGCTGGAGCCTCTTCCGAACAGCAGATGTGTGCCAGGTCATTGGCCTCGGCATTGCCAGGGCTGTGGAGAGGTTGGTGTCTGTTGACATAATAAAGCATTATTGCTTTTTCCAGTCTATGTTCACAAATGTCCTTCCATCAGTCCTGTTCCCACAGGGGTTTTTGAGCCACTTGCTAATTATCTTGCTGCCAACAGGGCAGCCACAAGGTCGGTCCACTTGTACTGCCCAGCTGCCTGTGCAGATGGTTACCAGCCCAGGTTCTTGGGTTATGACTATTCAGAAAGCTTTCAATTCAGCCCATTGACTACTTTGTCCTGAGCTGTCTTCCATCCATATGCTGTCCGTGCTGAGCTGGTAGGCCACCGCCCTCCAGGTGGGTGGCTGGTCCTACCAGGAGCCATCCTCAGGCACAAGGGCTTGTCCCTCTTTAATAGTAGGCCCAGGCCTGGGAAGAGGAGCGGGGACCTCCATGACCATGTCTTGGTAAGTAACTGGACCCAGGAGCTGTGGCAATCCTTGTCTCAGAGGGCTCACGGCTAGTTTGCTTCCTTGTTGGAGATATGCACTCTATTTAGTCAGAGTGGCCACTCTGGATTAGTTTACCATGTCCTATACCCACCCAGCAATGGGATAGGTGGTATGTACTGGAACCTCAGCTGACCTGGTAATGGTTTCAGTAGCCAGGATAGCCTGGTAAACAGCATGCACTTGTTCTATTGGGCTGTATTGAGCCTCTGCGCCCTTCCAGAGCTGGGGCCAGAGGCCAATTGACACCTTGGCAGGCCCTTGTCTTGCAAGAGACCACAGACATAGCCCTCAGGGGTGACGTGGACATCTAAATCACATGACTGAGGTTGATCTATGACCCCCGCTGCTTGTACGGTCTTCACCACTTGCTTAGCAGCCTTAAAGGCCTGGTCATGCTTTCCCCCCCCCAATCCCAGGTGGTTCCTTTGTGTGTGAGGTGATCAAGAGGCTGCACTGGCTGATCTAAGTGTGATATAAGAACCTTCCATTACCCCCAACAATCCTAAAAATTCTTGTAATTGCTTCAGCTTCTGTGGGATGGGGAGATCCTGGATATTATCTGTCATGGCAGTAGACATCACCTTTGTCTTACCCGATCAAACAGCACCCAAGAATTTGAAAGACAATCCAGGTCCATGGATTTTGTTGGAATTGACTCCCCATCCTTGACCTTGGAGGTGAACCAACAGCTGAGGCATGGCATGCTCTAAGTCTGTAAGAGGATCAGAGGTCAGCATATCGTTGATGTAATGGTACAATTTCACAGAGAATGGTACAGTCCATACAGCTAAGTCTTCAGCTACAAGGCTGTGGCAAACAGTAGGGCTGTGCAGGTAACCCTGAGGAAGAACAGTAAACGTCCACTGG